TCGTCAGGTGGGGGTTGGGACTCCCAAGGCTGGTCATCCAGCATGACCTCCAGCATGCAGCTGGCTCAGGAGTGCCTGAAGGACCCCCCAGAGGCGTCCGAGGAGCCACCTGCCCCACTGGAGGGGCTTGAGATGTTTGCACAGACTATTGAGACGGGTGAGTCAGTGCTGTGTGCGTCCACACCTTGCAAACAAATGACAGTGTTGACATACAGGCAACAAAATTTCCCTTCAGTGATAATGTGTGCTCGGACAGCAGTAAGGTTGGGTCATCATGTTGCATTTCCTGTATACAAGTATGAGTTCTGTCTTCCATTATCTTTAATTGAAGCCTGAACAACTAAGACATTGAAGAGTCCTTTTTTTCTTTCATTGTGATGTTCAGCCTTGATTTTGGAGGTCAAAGTTCACCTTTATTCAGCTGTGACTGGGCAGATGTGTGCAGTCAAACATTGATGCAGAGTCTTGGAGAAAGTAGAAATTATTTCTTCACCATTATATCCAAAGAGTTGACAACCAGCTGAACTGTTCCTCTCATATGCTGTTAGTAGTTTGTGATTAATCTGATCAACGTTTTATTATCCAAACTACAGATTTGATCTCATACCATTTTTAAAGCAGAGTGCAGTGGAACTGTTTTTAACAGAAATGTAGTATGATTGTAGTCTTTAGGGGAAAGCTCTGTCTAGACACTCTGGACTTAGCAGAAACTATGTGAGAGATCTGTGCTGATCAGTGCTCATCTGTGTTTGCAGTCCTCCGTCGCATCAAAGTCACCTTTCTAGACACTATTGTCCGCATCGAGCACCAGCCCCTGGACCTGGAAACAGGCGTCGCCTTAGAAGTGCACATCAAACGGTAGGTTGAAGCTTCCTTCTCAAGACTCATCCAAAGAAAATGAGCTGAAAAGAGGAAATACAACACTGTTTGTTTACAGTGAGAGGCTGCTTTTTGTATTTTTACAATTCTGTCGTTTAATTTTAAGAATATCCACCACCGTTTAAAATATGAACGAAAACATTTTCAAAAATATAAACACCTTACTTGTGCTAGTTTTTCTTCCTGATGGAGAGCGGCTCATTGGACATTTGGAAAAGCAACTTCAAAGGTCACTTTTACAGTTCAGTGGACAATAGTATATTTTGGGAAAACCTACGAAAAATATGAACATCAGCACAGAAGATATTTGTTCTGCAGACATTATAGTTAAACAAAGCTACTAAACACACAATGTGTGCAATCATCATTAACTTTCAGCACTCGTAATAGTTCTAAATATAGTATGACAATACAATTCTGCTTTGCTGATCTTCATTTCTGCTGTGTAGTCTTTGGTGAAAACATCAATTTGAAAAGTGCATTTGTTTTGACCACAGCAAAATCATGTAAGGTAGTTTTAATTTTAGCTTAAATAGAAATGAAACATCACATCGTTAGAGCTTTCTAGCTGTAGTTAGAAAATCAAATGTCCTTTCTTTAACCTTTAAAATGTTTTTGCTGGTATTTTCCTTTACACTGAACACTGAAATGTTCACTGGCTATTCTGATGCTCCAAGTGTTTGTATTTCTGCATTTTGATTCTCATTTCATAAAATGCGCTAAAAACCTTTCCTCATTTCACTGTTCCAGCAAGTGAGTGACACAATAATGTGGGCCTCTTTTGTCAAAGTACACGTGTGAACAAGTGGGACAGTGTCATAAAGACATAAATGCCCTCTGCAGGGCTTGTTAGTAGAGACACGAACTGGATTTGAAGCTCTGCGTTTCACTTTTTGTAACTCACACCTTAAAGCGTGTTAAAATGTGTCTTTCTGCGATCAGTAATTTTATAACACTCCCACATCAGCGCTTATATTTGTGTCAAGGGAGAAGGAAGGCAAAATAGAAGCCAAGAATTGGATTTCGTCTTCTGTCTGCTCATCAGCAGATAAGCAGAAGAGGCCCCCACTCTGTTGTGAACTTGCTCTCCTTGGCCTCGTGTTGTCAGAAAGCCTCACTGTGGAGCTC